CCCCCCCCCTCCCCCTGCGACCATAAATACTGAATACGGTAACGTATTCGACACCATAGCGAGCCGTCCACCCAAATACCAGCCGCTGTTCCGATCTCAACCGGCGTTCAACCAATCATGTTGCCCAGACTTGCAGAAGGCTCGCTACGGTGTGGAATACCGGTACGTTACTCCACTGGCGAATTTTACAACTAAGCGCCAAGGCCCACCAAAATCACGGATCAGGACTTTGGCGCCAAGGTGTCCTGATATCTTTCCAAATGGACGGGTGGTATCACGCCCTCTCACTCGCCTCCTATGCTGATCCTTGTCTCGCGAGAGAGAACGCTACGTCTCCAACGCACGACACAGCGATAATAAAGCTTCATTGCGGGGCACCTAGCAGCTAGCTAGAACAAGCGTCCGCATTTGGGAAAGGAGGAGGATCCTGCACGAGGCACTTGGAATGCTAACTTAATTGTCCTGATTTGGAGGTTGCCAGGCTATATAGAGAGCGTGCAGGTGGTGTGGCTCCGACACGTGAGGGCCCCTTCTAATGGTGGCAGGAAATATTCCCGAAAATCGGATTGTTGCACATAAGTTACCGATCTGGTCTGATGCTTAAATTATTGTGCGGTGCTGTACAGCACTTGTTTATATGCCTCCATAGCTATTGTCCGTACAATCGGTATCAAAACATGCTGGAGTGTGTACGATACATACACTCTCTCCCAAGTGCTGGTGAAACTCCACAGGCAGGAAAGGGAAAGAAGAAGGGAAAAAAAGAAAAAAAAAGAGGCAGAGTACTACAATCTACACAAACCTTTCCCAACGAGCACACTACTTCCCCAGGAAGACAATTCCCTATTCCATGTCATTACTTTTCCTCGCACCATTCACCGACCCGTCCTCAATCGCAATTCCATTTTCCGTTTTTGCCTTCGCAACCCCGTTCCCTTTCGCAGCACCAGGCTGCCAAACCATCATCGGTGCAGTAATGTTCTCAAACTCCTCCTTGAACCCCTCGAAGGGTGCCCACACGTCAATGGCCTTGAAGCCTAACTTCTCGTAGAGAGCCCTACCAGTGGGGCTCGACTCGAGGGAGCATATCACGCCCTCCTTCGCGCCGTTTTTCATGCCCCAGCTGACAAGCAGGCGGCCGACGCCCCGCCTGCGCCATGAGGGATCCACGCCCAAGATGTGCAGGTGCCAGCGGATTTTACGGCCTTCCTGGGACCAGGTCCCCGTGGTGGCTTGCTCGGTCGCCTCGTCCAAGCGGGCTAGGGCGGCGGGATCTTCCGAGCGGGATTTGGGGGAAAAGAGGGTGGTGATTCTGCCCTCGATTGTGAGGAGTTTGAACTCGATTCCTGGACTTCCTCGTTAGTTTCTGCTGCGAGGAAGGAGGGAAGCGCTGAGCAAGCTTATGACGGGTAGGATAGGTTAGATTTTTTTCTCAGGGTAGTGATCATACGTTTTAGAATACCGGCTTCATTCCTCCAGCGATATGCCGCTGGGTCGTCTCCTTCCCGCACCCAGACGGCAAATCCTGTTATCTCCTTTGTCTCTTCGTCTACCGCGAGAACTATTCTCGCCTCCGGTTTCAGAGCCTTTTCGCGCACTCGCCGGACCCAGCCTGCCTCGTAGTCTTCATAATAGGTATATCTCCCAGGCTCCACAGCATTGAATAAGGGGTCATCGATGAAAGCCCTTGCGCCAATCCTTCCCACAGTCTGCATGTCCGATAATCTGGCTTCTCGGAGATACATTTGTTATGAACAATTAGGTCGGATGAGAGGGAAAATAGTGAATGCTTCCCCCCCCCTCTTTTTCTTTCTTTCTCTCCTGCTAAAGGCAACAAAGAAGGCGAAGGGTGGGGGGGCTGCAAAAGGCATAAAGGGTTATATAATATTATGATATTTCAGGAAGAGTAGGGGGGAACCCTGCTTACGATGGGGTATGTCTAGACCATGAGAGGGCCCAGCGAGGCGTGGCAGTATTTGGCAACTAAAGGCTGCCTGTGGTCAACAACAGTAGAAAGCCAAGCCGTATCGCACCTCGCTAAGCCCTCCCATGGTCTAATTACCCACCATCTGTTAGACACTTAAAGTGTGACCCAATAGCGGTATTATAGCAAGATTGGCCGTTTCCCGAAATTGGTGATAACGATATAATGGCTCTTCCCTTCGATGTGCGGGGCACTACATATTGGCCCATCCAATCATGAATACTTCACTTCCTAACAGTATGGAGTTCGCTCCTGGCCCCCGTTTCTGCGAGTGCTGTACGGTACTGTACAGGGAGCACTGCACAACGGAGCGTAGGGCGAGCATGTAATATACTCCTGGTGCGGTGAGGGGCATCAGCCATGATCTCTTTCTCTGGGCGGTGGTAAAGCAATGTTGGGATATATCTGGGGTGACGAATCATTGGGGAGGGAATCCAAATGGGCCGAGGGTTGATGAATTTCGCTTGCATTAATCGCTGCAGCGCACAGCTCTCCAAGACCGCGCCAATAGTCTAATCCCAAGGACAATAACTGGGTAACAGAAACCACCACTGCTAGGAATGGGGAGCAGATTAAATAGTTCTAAGCATCGTCGAATCAACCGGCCCCACCTCAATGCTTGAGGCGAACGGATAGGACCCGGTATCGGATACACCGCCTGCGCACCAGGAGCCCAAAGTGACCCCGATCAGCGAACCCTCCAACGCTGGCGTTCCCTCAGAGAGCCCCAAACCGGCAGTTTTGACTGGCTCGGCATAAATGACCCAATTCTAGCTCCCCCTTCGTCCGAAGTTTTGCGGATTCAATAGCGAGTTTTCTTTTATCATACCTCCGGTTGGGGACGACTGAGCTTAGGCCACGATACCCGTGTTGTACTGGTACAAGCGAGCAAACTTCGGCACAAATAAGGTTGCTCCACTCAATGCTGCTGTGCCGTCTCATCTAACTTTGATTGTCAGATGTTTGATGCCCGACGGGCTGAGGGTATGTCGCACACTGCATATGATACCTTACCTGGTTGTCGGATTTCGAGTGATGGAAGAAGAGCTGATCTGCATATGATCGGCCCGTCCGCAGGGCTAGAGCACCCGTGCCGGTATCTGGAATCGAGCGCTAGTCCAGTTCAGAATTGGGAACGAGAAAGCCGTCAAGTTATTGGGGGTAAATAATTTTGGACCGGGAATGAAGAAAAGGTCAACAGTATCGAGCTGAATGGGCAAGCTAGCTATATCTATGTATATGTTCTAATGCCCACGCGGACCAGCCTACGCAGACTCCCTCATCATCTATGACAACTTAAGTCGCGCAGTATCATTGTCGTCATGGCCAGCCTCTATGAATATTCTGCCTTCACACGAGAGCCGCTCATCCGCAGCTGGAAGATACAGATTAACAGGTAGGGATGAAACTCTCTTAGGGCTGCTCAGTTCCGCCGGCGATATCTTGCGTTTGGGGTTTTCCCTTTGAAAAGGGGCATGTTGATGACAAACGGACATAGAGGAAACGGATTCCCGCTTGGGCTATTGGCACAATAGTCTAATGATGCAGCACAGGCGTAGGAACAAAAGGCGAGCGTTAGAAACAGGATTCGAACCTGCGCGGGCGAGCCCATTTGATGCCATGAATTGAAATTCAAGCTGAACTCCTGGACCGCTCGGACATTCTAACATATGGGTTGTTATAAATTTTTTGTTCCCAGGTTCAACAATACCATGAGGTCCATAACGAGTCGCACATGCAGCGGGGCCGGTGACATTTCCCAACCCGAAACGGAGTACCGGTAGCATGACGGCGTGGCTGCACGATGACCACATCCCCCCCAACACAGGGTGTGAGCAAGAATACCGTACAGTGCACGGCCCATGCCGTGGTTTTGTAACCCCCGTGGCACGAGGCCGTTGTCCGCGACTCCCCACTCTATACAGACTGCCGAAATAGTGAAAAAATTGCCCGCTGCTCTGAAGCCCCTCCCGAGGAAAAGGAAGGAAGGAGAGAAGGTTCTCGCGCACTTCCATTCATGATGTTGGATAGAACTACTCGAGGACTGTTTTTCTTCTTCCCCGGCCAGGTGTCAGGGCCACACCATCCTCGGCCAACGCGAATCTATTGATACGGATATGGTACCGCAACAGCATAGTGGAAGCATTCTTCAGTACAAGATGGGATAGCGGAGAGATAGGGTATGATGGCAGTAACAGTGCCGGGACGCAAACAGTGCATCGTCATGGATATGTTTATCGTTACCGAATTCACGAGCTAAAATTCCGGCTCGGGATCGCTCCCATTTTTAGCATGTCGGAGCATGAGGAATGATCCGTGCATTACGAGTTCGAGTGATATTTTATGACCTGGCCGGTATCTTCATTATCATTACTTCGCAGGCAGGAATGGACGGCTGGCAATGCGTTGGTTCCGCAGAGGATCCTGTGGGGCAGTATTGCCGATGCGGTATTATGAAGCGAGACATTCCGGCGGCGCCAAAGGGTGTGGCTATCACAATACCAGTATTGTAGGGCACGGTACCGTTCGTTACCAGTATTTGATGTTTGGCTTCAACCTATATTTGAACTGACCAATAAGTGGCGCCGGATAGCGGGCGCAGTCACTTCTCCACACGAATGGGTGGGAGAGGTTTCGAGTATTACCCATGGTCGCGTCAACCCCTTTTTTTCTTGAGACACAACCTGAGGTCATAAGCTTTTCCAAGCCGGGAGGATTACCGCACTGTATTCCCAAAACGAGCGCTGTCTGCTGTATGACGTTCAGTAGGTCAGTGTGAGCGACAGTGTGAGCGACAGCACGAGTACTCGAGTACATACAAGCACAAGGATAAGGATGGCCGATAGGAGGGAGCTAGCATATCAACTCCCGGTAAGGTACTTGTACTCAGTACTGTACACTGTGACTTTCTACCGTGTGTATCGCTTGCGGAACTGGATTTTAGAACGACTAAAGACTATTGGCGCAGTTAAGCGGGCATGGGATGGGGAGGCGCAAGGGTTGACTCCGGGACGGGAACTGGGTTGAGGGTAACCCGTGGTACGGTATGATACAGTATACTCGTAGGTACTCGTAGAGACCAGATTTGGTGGAATGGTGAGGGTTTGAAGCGCATGCTTGGGCCGCCTCGTTTCCTCTTACATGGGTTATCTTGCCTTACTGTACTCGAGTAGGTTAGCCATTGGAAGGGGGAGCCAACTTGGGAGCAAAATCTGTGCGAAAAAGGGACGGGCAGCCAGTGAATAAACCGTTGGATGAAAAGTTAGCCCGTTTTTCTCCCGGGTGCCGCTTTGGAAGGCAGAGTGAGGGTGAAGCGGAATGGAGCCTTTCTTGTTCACTTCACACACCTTTTGGTTTTGCAGGGAGGGCGGCGGGAGAGAGAGAGTGTGTGTGTATGGTGGAGTGAAAGCTCTGCGCAACCCATTTTTTTCTTTTCTTTTTTCCTTGGTTATGCCGGGCGGGCTCCATGCCGCGCATACGTTTTTTGACGTTGACGCGGTGCAGGTCATTCATCGCCCGCCGTCCCACCACCATCACCACCACCACCACCACCACTCGTCCCCTGAACCGTCTACAGCACCTTAAGCATCGATGAGTTTGTGTCTCTGGTAGACGATTGAAGGAAGGAAGGAAGGAAGGAAGGAAGGAAAAGTGAAAAAAAAGGAGGAAATCAACACGCTTGCACACACGGGTGCAGTACATACGAGTTCGGTGCAAGTGTACCGGGTTTATTACTCGTATTGATTGTACCAGTTTCTGTTCCCCCTTTCCTTGGTCCGTTCTCCGAGTCTCGTGGTGAACTTCGCCGACCGGGAAACCTTTTCGCTTTTGTTTGCCCGTTCACGGGATAAAGCTACTCAGCAATTCATCCAGCATTGTTTGTCATTGCTTGTCGACCTTCGTTTTTTCCCCTTAACCCTTTCCTCACCCCATTTGCGACTGGTCAACGTTTGCGGACTCCGTCACTGTTACTATACCCTCCGGTACGCGCACTGCATTCAAAGTTTTCTCTTTTTTTATCTTCGGCTTGCGGGAGGCACCCTTCTTTGATTACTTGTATTTTTGTCCCCGCCCACCCCCCGCGAGCAGCTTTACCCAAGCTGGGCCGCTCAAACAATCGGTGCACGGGTTGAACCCCCGCTCCAACCCCCGAACCGATCTTCCATTCTTCCGTTCTTTTGCTCTTTCCCTCTTTTCTTTCTTCGCTACACCGTACCTGATCGCGGACCAGGAGAGAAATCCGGAAAAAAAAAAGGGTCGAGATGCGTTTACGACCGGCTACTCCGCTCAGCGTCTTGCTGCTCGCAGCCTTTGTACTATTGTTGCTGAGCGTGTTGAGCACCCCTGTCATTACATCTATTCACTTGGCCTCTTATAGGGATGTTGCGTTTGGCGTCTTTGGCTTTTGCGATGCGGAGGTGTGTAGCGGTGTTAGGATTGGCTACGATATGGGTACGTTTTTGCTTTGGAGAGGTTGAAGACGAGGGAGGTGGAGATAGCGGGTGCCGGATCATCATCATGCACGGTTCCGGTACTGTAGTTTGGCGGCATTGTTGATTTGGCCGCACAAACACCAATTGAGCGTGGTGGTCCTGTCTCTGTCTCTTTCATCCTCACATCACCGCTGCGCTTTCCGGTTTTTGAGGTTTATCTGGGCGGCTAACTTTATCTCGTCCCAGGCTCGCTCTCACCCACCAATTCCGACTTCTCGCTGCCATCCAATGCACGCAGCTCATTATCAAACTTGCTGATTGTTCACCCTATCGCTGCACTTTTCACTCTGATATTACTGGTGCTCGCAGTCATATCTCACCTTCGCTCACCTGCGCACTCGCCTCGTTACCTGCTAGCACTTCTCATACTCTCATTACCAACTTTCCTACTTTCGCTTCTGGCTTTCTTAGTTGATATATTGATCTTCCTTCCGCACGTGCAATGGGGTGGTTGGGTGGTTTTGGGTGCGACTATTTTGATTGCGATGGCGGGAATAGTGATGTGTGGAATGCGTAGGACTGTTGTGTCGAAGGAAGCGAGGAGAAAGAGAATAGAGGGAAACGCTGCTATGAACGGTCAAGAATTCTATGCATCGCAGGCTCTTGCTCGAGAACGTGCTGCCGCCCCCACACAACCTGACAAACTCCCTGAATATGCAACCTTCGAGGTGAACAAGTCAACGCCTGGTGAGCCGGAGGGAGAGGGGATACTGCTTAATCCTAGATCTAGAACTGTTTCCCCACCCATAACGGGTGCTGGATCGGATGGGTCGTTTACAAGGAGCAATACCTTGACAAGGGAGCCGAGCGACAGAAGTGTGGGATACGGTCCACCGCCCAGAGGTGCTGGGCCTTTGTCTAGACCTATGCCTTCAGTGCAAGTAAGAAATCAGTACTCAAATGGAACATTACAAACAGGGACTAGCGGGAGCTCAGGACCGTATGGAGTTCCACCTCCACATAGAGGTGGGCATGGTAGGGGGTATGGGGGAGATGTGTATGGAGAATGGGGGCCGCCACCTGGTGGATTCAGGGGACCAACGCCGCCCGGGATGTATCCTCCTGCGGGAGGGCTGGCTCCCCCGCCAAGGAGAGGTCCTTCGCCGGGTCAGTTTGTTCCTCGACCACCTCCCGGCAATGCTTATGGTGGTGGAGGGCCAGGATATGGCATGGGTCCACCGCAGAATAATGCAATGATGGGCCCATTTCCCCAAGGAGGGATGCGTGGTGGGCAAGCTTCATACGGTGCAATGGGGGGACCACCTGCAGGAACGCTGATGGGTGGGAGGGGAGGGCCTATGCCTCCGCCTGGACCACGGCAATATGATTACCCTGAGGGTGAGATCGTTGATGAGAGGATGGAGTTTGAAAAGACACTGCCTATGGCTAGTGCGGCTGGTGGTACAAGAGATGAACGTGGAGGTGGACCGAGTGGGCCGGTGGAATTAGGCACGGATGAACGTCCTTTAGAACCTCCGCACACGGGAAGATTATCCGTGGTAAATGAAAACGGGGGATCAGCCCCACAAGACGAGTAACCCTCCCCCTTTTTTTCACCCCAAACTGTTTTTTCCCAGCTAAAAAATCCTACAGATACATACCACCCCGCCAAGCCTGGCAACAACAACGTAGCAATACCCCTCCCGAACAACCCCGCTCCCCTCCGCCAGCAGAGCTCCCCGCCGTCTCACCCTCCTCTTCACGTTCGGATCGCTCCTCGGCACCTCCGACCAACGCCGCAAGCTCCTACTACGAAGATGTTGTCCCCGCCTTCGACACCAATCTCCCACAAAATCATCCCCGCTCCCTGACCCCAGGGTATCCCGCCTCCCCTTCTACCCCTCCTCATGATCCTCCTTTTTTTCCACCACTCCCCCTCCTAATAAATGCTCGTCGCGACCCCTCTAATCAAACTTTCGAGGATCTGCAGGATGGGCAGAGGTCGCCCACAATGAGCCTTTCCAGTAGCTTCACCAGCATCTCGCAGAGACCGCCCAATCCGGACTGGCAACCTCCTCCCCAGCAACAACATCAGCAAGGAAGAAGAGGGTTGACGACAAGTCAGGTGCTAGGTGGAAATCCGGATTTTATGCTACCGGGGGGTGGAAGGGGTGGACAGAGGGGCAGAGGTGGCGGGCCAGTCGGCATGGGAAGGTAGTCGGTTTGTATAACGAG